GACAGTGTGGTAAGCAAATGTGCATTTTTATGCTTTGAGGTCCAGTTCTCTATCATGAGTGGTTTTTGCACCAAGAAAAGAAGAAACTTTATACTTCATTCTTTAGCAATCAGTGTATATGCTTATTCCCACGAATGTTTTTCTGTGAATCATTTCTACCTAATGACTTACTGAGAACATGCTCTTTCACAATGTACATCTCACTTCATTTACATTAGTTACATCACTGATTAGAAACGGATTTTCATGTTTAAGAATGTCCGCAAATACTTTGAAGGGAACTACCAATTTAAAGTTTAAAAACGTAATAATGATGCACGTGGTGAAGAACTAGTCCTTTATTGTTATTCACTGTTATACCGAGCATATCACTACATAAACAGGCTCATGCTCAGTTTACATATTACTACCCAGTGTTGCTTTCGATTGGAAACTAACAATCGAGGCAAAACAAATGTCACAAAGACTATACCAGCTCAGAAAAAAGTAAGAATAACTCGTTATCTCAACTTTATAAAGAAAGGGATAGGGAAGGAAATAGTTGTTTTTTTTTCTTGGCACTACAGCCCGAGTGGGCCTAGGCCTACCTCCATGAACTCCGTTCACAGCAAATAGTTTAATAAACAGTAATGTAAAGAACACTGAACAATGGACTCAATGAGAGTCCAATAAAATTTTGGCTCACCGGTACATTTACTTTTATAATAATTGTTTGAAGTTCCATACATTAGTTGATTTAAACAACAACGTAACATTTTAATGCGAACAGAATGTGAAGGATTGCCACATATAAATTGTAGTCTGTTGTTATATATTTTAATGAAAGCGCCTTGAATGAATTCGTAAAGAGCTACATATTCAAGTGCATAATTAATCACATTGGAGGATATCAAGATCTGAAACCACGTAATCTACACATGTCCTTTGACAATGCAGACCAACTAATAAGGTCACAAACTATACAAAACCGTACAAGAAAATCAATAGTATCCACGGGTGAACCAATTGATTGGCCAGCAGATATTAACAGAACTCCAGATCTACTAGACTTCTTTATCATTAAACGGCTATCACATAACTCTTTAGATACAAGACCCAATCTAGAGATAGCATCGGATCACCACCATCAATACACATAACTTACCAACACTGCACAACAGCCAAACAAACTGGGAAGCATTCAGAACTCAAATTTAAAAAAATTTACGTCTCAACATCCCACTCAAAAGAGCGAAGACATTGAAGAGGCTGTTGCTGAATTCACTAACATAATACAAGAGGCAGCTTGGAGTGCAACACCAGACAACAAACCTCCAGCCAAGCCTCAGGGATACCCATGGGAAGTCAAGGACCAAATTGAGCAAAAACGAAACCTCAGAAGATGGCAGATGAGTTGCAGAAAAATCAGATGGAATGAAGTGGCTAGAAAATTAAAAGGTTTAAAGAAGGAACATTTCAGACACACTTTTAAAGCTTAATAGCAACAGCTGAAACCGACTATGCACTCTGGAAAGCAACCAAACTATTAAAACGGCCGACACAATGCATCCCACCAATCAGAAACACAGACCAGAACTGGGCTCGAAATGGTGAAGAAAAAGCAAACACTTCTGCAGGACACTTAGAAGAGACTTTAAAACCAGATGAACTGCCATAAAACAAAGAACTTAAAGTAGAAATCAGCAAAGTGCTGAAAGAACCGATACATATAACACAACCAATTAATTCCGTCCAGTGTGACTGATGACGTTTCTTCTTTTTAATCTTTTATCCTTTGCATGTTTTGGTCCTATAGACTATCTTCAGAATAATATAAATACAATTAGAAACCACTATTACAATATGCCAGCTTCGGCCTCCTGATACCTTTATTTTCTCAAATCTTCTCCCATATAGCAATTGGATTTTAGCCTGAGTGGGATCCTCAACTGTTTCAACACAGAGAAAAAATTTCCAACGCTCGTGGCAAGAATCGATTCTAGGAGATCAAGTTCACAGTACATCATCCCCGATACAAAATTGTAAGTACATCTTGCCCAATAATTCATGCAATTTGACCACTCAATTTCTGTTGTGTTCGCAAAGAAAGGTGACAAAAACGCATCAACTAGCTTTGTCATGTCCATTTGTGCACCCTCATGTTTTCGAGAACTGCAGAACAGATATTGAATTTCATGCGGGGGAGTTTTAGTAAACTTTTCAGTTAAAACGAGAATAAATAACAGACGATGGTAGATCGCAGTGCCCACGCGTTCTGAGGTATGAACTGACTTCGCCCACTTGAACACTGGGATCGTGGGTGCGAATGCCGCTGAAGGCATGGATGTCTGTCTCCGTTTATCCTGTGTTCGTGTTGTCCTGCGTGGGCCAATCCCCCCGCCCAAAGAGTCCTACAGAGTATCATAGGATTAAGAAACTGAAGTGAAACAAAGCGTTTCATGGATGCCCCATGCTCCAAAGTGGGAGCAACAGGAAAGCGAGTGATGCGCATGAAGACGTAACACGCTTTGCTGCGCCATCTTTAACATACTTCGCTAAATATTAATCGCGGCGAAAACTGTTTTGAACAAAAAGTGTTTGATATAAGGACTTAATTAGACAAAAAAGTTAATGCACCAAAATTGCTAGGCCATGTGTAGATTTATTAAATTGTTTTAATTGTTATTGTAATTTCAAATAGGGTAGAACTCCTAAAGAGTATTATTCAGTGAATGGAATCTCAAAGTTTCGTCTATTTCCTTATGTCAATCAAAAAACAGCGTCGCTTTTAGAGCATAACCGATTCATTCATCTTTGAATACACAAATATGGGAATAAGGAAGAAAGAACTACAGAAACGTACAGAGTCTATGGGCAGAAACGTATTCCCGTTTGAGAAATGGGTAAAGAGGTAAAGCTATCCCTGTAACAGGCCGTAAGGGCCCATAGGGTTGTGAGAGGCATAAGCTCCCTCATTTTCTAGACAATCAGCTCGCAGATGGCGGTAAGATTGTCAGCCTTACGCGCCGGTCGCCTTTTACCGCCCAGGAAGACTCCTGGTACTCATTTCTGTTAGAGGCTGAGTCGAACTCAGGGCAATAGTGCGGCTGGAAGGATTAGGTAAATTGAAAAATCCAATGACCTCATTGGGAATGGAACCCGCGATCTTGCAGCTTGTAGCATAGTGCCTCAACCAACTGCGCTACTGCGTGCTCCCATTGAGAACTGGGTGCTGAGGAGTATGTTTAGACCGAAGAGGGATGGACTGATAGGTAAAGGTAAAGTTGTCGCAGTGCTTAACTAATTAAGCACTGCGCCATGAAGACGTATGGGGAAGTGGATGTATAGATCCATGTTTTCCTGACCTCGGTACTAGTTGCAGGTGTGTAGTCAGCTTCACGCTCCGGCCGCTTTAATCCCGGGGAAAACTGCCCGGTACCCATTGGATAGGAATCTGGGTGGGCCCAAGAGTCAGTCTGGACGACATGAAGAAGGAAACATCCTTGACCGTACCAAGCCTCGAACTTCGATCCCTCGTGTCGGGTAGTCGCCAGTCGCTGTACCCACTCTGCTGTTCCAGTTCCTGGGATGAAGTGATATGAGGCTGGAAAAACTGCATAATGAAGAACTTCATAACTTATACTCTACGCCAAGTAAAATTATAGTGATCAAATCAAGGAGGATGAGATAGACAGGACATGTAGCACACATGGGGGCAAAGATAAATGTTCATATGATTTTCCTGGGAAAGTTATGAGGAAGGAGACTACTAGGAAGACCAAAATATGGATGGGAGGATAATATTAAAATGAAGCTTAGAAAGATAGGATGGGCTGTTATGGACTGATCTGGCTTTGGATAGGGACCAGTGGAGGGCTCTTGTGAACACTGCAATGAACTTTCGGGTTCCGTAAAATGTTGGGAAGTTTTTGAGTAGCTGAGCCATAGAAGGACTCAGACCCATGGAGTTAGTTTATTTCCTTCACAATCTGTGCCTAATTTGATACCCATGTCTCTTGTGCAGAGCATCTGCGAGATTTTCTAGCAGAACATCTTTCACACAAGTACTGCACATGCATTCTCGTTGCTCCACCGTGTATCTCACATGTAGCATTTCGACCAAGAAGTAAGAAGTAAGTGCTCGGAATTTCAGCTGGCCAACACATAATCTCGCTTCACGGTAGCTGTTGCAGCAATATTGAAGACAAGTAGAAATGCTTATGGTGTCCACTACCGATACAAAGGTATGCGGAAGAGACTGCTCTCCAACATGCATGGCGGAACCATTAGCAGAGGATTGCACTGTAGTTATTCGTTAACAGTATACAGTACACGTATTTGTCAAATGGAAACTCCAATTGATGTCCTGTGCACTTTCATACAACTTGAAGTCAATGCATATTTATCGAAATTGTATCGAGTCTCATGCTAACGTCTCTTTATTTGCATCCCAGTGATTACTATACCGATTAATGTTCTTTTGTCTTTCCACAGAATGCCAGCAAAATATTCTAGAAAGTGTCTTCGCCACTTCCTCGTGCACAATTATTCCCAGTTGTGCCCCCAATCCTCATAGCCGCGGAATTAGGATAAGAAGTAGACGCATTGCTTCAATAGCTTCTGTATTGTAAAGAAGTGAGCTTAAGAAGATATGCAATATAGAGCCAATTAAAGTCAGTGCCTCATTCCATACACTTTTCATGCTCAACTGACATTGTCTGCGAAAGAACCTGTTGGCAGTCCTTACCGTTGGACACATACGTGTATAACACGTACCACACTGTTAGATGCATCAATGAGAATACCAAGTGTCAATGACAAATCATTTCATATCATGCAGGATTTGAGGTTCTCACGGCGGTGGTTATGAAGAGTTCTGTCTTCTGGAATATATGCCGTGTAGTCTGTTGAAAGTCAAACGATGTTTCGGAGGAACATGTCTCCTCCATCTTTGGATCGAAGAGCAAGATAAGTAAGAAAACAGCAAGAAGCAGGCAACACGCAAGCTTCTTGGCTTACTCTTCAACTCTGATAATGGAGGCAACATGTTCCTCTGAATTGTCGGTGGACTTTTAACAGATTACATGGAGTATATCTTCACTGCCAAATCAATTTCATATAATCTTATTAAAACCTTCGTAATTAGTTTCACTTTATACATGATGTTTCTTCAAGCACGTTGATCATGGTTCTTACATCCTGATTCTTACAATGCCTCTGTTGAAAGCGCTAAGGATACTGTTTTATAATTCCTTCATTATCCACAGTTTCCTGGAAGCGCTGAAGGCCAGTTTGTAAAATGTTCAGATAATACCGCAGGTCATCAGGAGTTGGATGAAAATCTGAATTCAAATCGCGCCGACGTCTTCGACTTAGGTATGTATACATTAATCCAATAGCCGGGATGCCGAGTCCCAGAAGAGCTAGAGGAAACATGAGTTTATAATAAGAGCTTGAGCTGTCGCCCAGACCTCCTTTATGTGAATATATTGGGAAATCTAGCAAATCGTGAGCATGAGGGTTGTAATGACTTAAATGTTTGAATAAATATGGCTTGGAGTAAGCAGAATGTTGGTGGTACTGCTGATACGATGGTGGTGGTGTGTATGATATATATGACTCATATGTGGATGGATATGATTGGTGAATATTTGGAGGCTGAAAGTGTTGAAATGAGGAATATGTCGGAGATTTATAGTGGTACTGAGGTCCATATTCATTGTCGGATTCGAAGTGTGGCTCAGACGCGGCATACCCTGCAGAAAATGATATTCTACGATTATATGGTAGTCTTGAGTTGAGTAGTTGACTGCCATAATCTTGGAGAGGCTTCGAACGCTGGATAAATGGTTTTGGAATCCAATCAGTGTGTGATGGTGGAGACGTGGGTCGCTGCGTTGTACTGATTATCTCGTAAGATGGTGCGGCCGATGTCAAGGAGGCTGCAGCTCTCTGAGCGGAAGCGAGTGCCGGTGCTGCCATTGAATATTGCACTGGCATGGAGAACGAAGCACTCGAACCAGACATATCAGGGGAAGACTTTGGAGGTTTAACGCCATTTACCGAGATGACTTCAACAGCAGCTCCACATGCTGTGTACAGCATAAGTAGCAGCACTATTCCTGTTCCTGTCTCCATCTGAAATTGCAGGATGAATTTATTATTTATAATATAGATTGACATTTTATATAAAATGAAACGCACTTTTAAGTACATCATCATCATCATCATCATTATTTTACTTACTTACTTACTTACTCACTCATTCACTCATGGAGCTGAGCCCTTCTGGAGGAGCCGCCAATTCTGCAGCTACTCAAGAATTTCCCAGCATTTTATGGAACCCCGAAGGTTCATAACCGTGTTCACAAGAGACCTCCACTGGTCCCTATCCTGAGCCAGATCTATCCAATCCAAACCATCCCATCCTATCTCTCTAAGATCCATTCTAATATTGTCCACACACATATGCTTTGGTCTTCCCTGTGGTCTCTTTCATTCTGGCTTTCCCACCAATATCCTACACGCATTCCTCGTCTCCCCATTCGTGCTACATGACCTGCCCATCTCATCCTCCTTGACTTGATCATTCTAATTATACTTCGAGAAGAGCACAAGTTATGAAGCTCGTCATTATGCAGTTTTCTCCAACCTCACATTGCTTCATCTCTCCTCGGTTCAAATATTCTCAACACCCTCAGCCTGTGTTCCTCCCTTAAAGTCAGAGACAAAGCTTCACAGCCATACAGAACCACAGGCAAAATTATAGTTTTGTATATTCTAATTTTTATGTGTTTGGACAACAGACGAGAAGACAAAACGTTCTGGACAGAGTGATAGCCAGCATTACCTGAGTTCAATCTCCTCTTAATTTCCTCCTCAATCTGGTTTTGAGATGTTATCGTCTTTTCCAAATATCTGAAGTGTGCCACATTTTCAAAACATCAGTTACCTATAATTACTGTATTTACGCATGTATAGGCCACAGCACAATTTTCAGACAAATTATAGAAAAAATAATTTTCTTGGAATATTATTTCAGGAGTATTACACCCTGTATTACTAATTATGAATATAATTTTTTTAATGAAGTGTGATTTCGAATATAAGCCACACCCCAGTTTTCCTCTTGAATTTTTGGCAAAAAATGTGTGGCCTATACATGCATAAATACGGTATGTCATGATTTTGCCCTGCATTTTGGTCATGAGACAGCAACATATATATAGTTAGTTTTCTCTGTGTTTACTTCTAGAGAAACCTCCTTGCTTGCATTAATTAAAGTTTGTGTGTTTTTCTTTATGGCATCTATATTATCTCCCACTACATACACATCATCAGCATAGGCCAACAGTTGATGTGTCCCATTTAATTTCAGAGTAACATGGTTTTCCTGGGCCTTCCTAATGGCATATTCTAAAGCAAAGTTGAAAAGCAGTGGCGATAAAGCAGTTCCTTGTTTTAGACTATTCTGGATAGGAAAATTATGAGACAAATGTTTACATATATGGACTTTACTATACGTTTCATTTAAACACATTTTAATCAGCCTAAGTAATTGCATAGGTACACTAAACTCCATCTGATCTGATCTGTAATTGATCTGTTATGTCGAAACCCATACTGATCATCCCCAATAATTTCATATATATATGGACTTAACCTTGAAAGAACAATATTGCACAAAATTTTATATGAAGTTGATAGCAGTGATATCTCCCAATAATTACTACAGTCAGTTTTATCACCCTTCTTGTGAACTGGTACAATAATAGACTCCTTTCACTGATCAGGCAATTTTTCCTTATGCCAAATAGAAGTCATTAGATTGTGGACTTAGAACGTAATATTTTGCCTCCTGCATGAGTAAATTCTGCCAGAATTTGATCACTACCTGGCGATTTATACCGTTTCAATTTTGCAATAGCACTTGCAACCTTAGAAGGGCTATGATCAGATACTGATGGCCCAGCTGTATGGATTTCTGTCTGCCTAACAGCACTGACCTTATGTACATTCAATAACTGAGAGAAGTAGTTCCTCCACCTATTCAAAATGTTGTGGGAATCTGCAAGCAGATCACCATTCTTATCCTTCACTAAGTTACTGCTAGGTTGGTAACCCCTCTTAAAGTCATTTATTCCTCTATACAGGTCTCTAATGTTCTTGTTCTTACTGTTCGTTGCAAGCTCATCAATGTTGTCTTTCAGATATTCCCTCTTTTTACTTCTGAAATGCCTGCTGGCTTCATGTCTTATATTGTTCAGATTATCCCCATTTAACTCACTTGGATCCTGTAACCATTGCAATTTGGCCTGCTTTCTTTGATCTTATAATTTTGAGCATCCTTCATCGAACCATGGCTTATGCTCCTTCGGTTCATAATAACCTAGACTCTCTCTAGCAGACATTTTTATATTCTCTCTAATAGTTTCCTAAGCTTTATTAACATCCACCTCAGTTTCCAAGTTTTCCAAAGCTGTGAAGCTATTTGAGATTTGAACACAATACTGCTCTTTACCCTCTACCTCATTTAATTTCTTTAGATTGAACCTCTCCATATGAACTCTGTGTTGTTTGTTTGCTCACTGCCAGTCTTTCCCTAAACTTTGCCACCACCAGGTAGTGGTCAGTATCACAATCTGCTGCCCTGAATGATCGGACATCAAGTATACTTGAATGCCGTCTCCTATCTATCAAAATATGGTCTATTTGATTGTGTATCTTCCCATCAGGAGATGTCCAAGTAAATTTATGGATGTTATGATGTGGGAACAATGTACTTTTGACAGTAAGTTTTTTGATGTGGCAAAGTTTATTACTCTAACTCCAATACGAGTATCATTACTAATTTCATGCAAACTCTCATTCCCAATCGTTGGTTTGAAAATGTCTTCCCTCCCTACTTTGGCATTGAAATCTCCTAACAAAATGTTCATGTGGTACTTCGGGAATTTATCAAATACATGTTCTAGTTCTTCATAGAATCTACCTTTATGCCATCAATTTTATCTTCTGTTGGGGCGTTAACATTCATAATAATGATATCATACCAGCGACCTTTTAGTATTATATATGATATCCTATCACTAACGAATTCTACCCTCTTAACTGCTAATACAATTCTCTTATGTACAAAAAAACCTGTACCTAATTCATGATTTTCATTCCCCTTTCCATAGAAACATGTATATTCGCCTGGTGGTGCGATGCTACCTCCGTCCCATCTGACCTCCTGTACTCCTGCTAAATCTAACTTATATTTTAAGATTTCTTCTGCCACTGCCCTGAATCAACATTATCATCGGCCAAGCTAAATAGCGCTATACTTGTATTCAACTTTATGGAACCAAGTGACTATTTCGATGCTCCCACGTACAAAATCCTATCAAAAGGGAAGCACAATAGATCACTGTAGGTCGCTGTGCAAGGGCCGAGAGGGCCTACCCCTTATACATTCATTCATACTTGTATTCAGGATGTGCTCGGTTCGACTCCCGTGCCTCACACTGACTATCCTGATAGAGGTTTCGACACTAATCTCTGCATGACCTATCTATAATTTCATAATATGATTATTTAATTAATATTTATGCATATTTATTTATTAGAATTTAGTCAGCATATTAGGCTTTATTTAAGACAATGATATGAGAATCAATGGCCTTATTGCTTTATTTTGTACGGGTAAAGCGGATTTTCAATAATAATTGTTTTTAAAGTATTCGAAATCACTTTATTTAGACTTCTGGCAGTTTAAACAGGAATGTAATTCCAGTTTTAAGCAGAGAAGCAAGGTTATCCGAAGGGCTAATCTTATGCAAACTGTTATGGAATTAAATTAAAATAATTAATAGAATCATAGTATATGATTCTCGGAGAAGACCACAATTTCAATTCTACCAATAGCGTACGTTAGGACAATATTAATTTGACGACATAAGTCTGAAAATTTATATAAAGAGCTTTGAAAAGGGCTGTTTCTAACAGAATCTTGACTGGTTCAGCAATCATCTAACATTTGACGCTGTGTAATCTCAGATACTGACATCGTCGTGAAATAGACAAGATCCCCGTCAACAACGAAACGGCTTCGCTGGGAACAGTATTCTTGCCGGACTGAAAGAACGGGCGGGACAGGCCCGACAGCAATGCTTAAGTATTAATTTACAAAATGAAAATCAAGGATCTAAAAAAGTTAGAAAGTGCAAATATTGATATTTGTAGATTCTTTCTGTTGCCCTTAAACTTTCCGGACGAAACTCTGGACAGTATCTTGAGATAAAATACTTGAGCCTCTACATATCTCTGTCTCTTCTTATTCGACCTCAATTAATCTGCACCTGAGTTGCGCTGACAGTAGAGTCCATTTTATATATATCATCATTTGAAGTCGATACAGCCCATGAAAAAAAGGCCAGCATTCTTTACTGGGATTTTCTGTAGTATTTCTGAGAGTGTTGGTATAATGAGCCCATCCACATTATTATCAGTACTTATAAAAGCCGTCATGCCTGACGAGGAACCATGCTTCTCTGATTAATTCATGGCGCCCGACGAACAGGAAAGTAATTCTAAAAGCCGACAGTGCTCCCCGGCATAAGATATACTATCTCCCGGTAAGGGTTTTAAATTCTAGGGAAGCTGTAAATATAATTGGAAAGAAAGCAGTCTTCTGGGATTTGGCACCGCGNNCGTATATGTGGTGTTAACCGACGTTTCGGAGGAACGTCGGTTAACACCATATATACATGGTGCCAAATCCCAGAAGACTGCTTTCTTCATAGTCACCGCCGTGAAAGCCTCAAATCTTACATAATTGGAAAGATTAGATGTTTTGTGTTAGTGTAGGGAGTTTTGCAGGTGTTCACTGAGATCTGAGCTCAGGCAACGATATTTGACCGACCCGCATAGAACTGTATGGAAATTCTTTTACCTCGATTCAACCATAGTTAAAACTTGTACTAATCTGTCACACTTCCACAGCCAAGTCACAAGCACGCTGCATGTTTGTGGTAACTGAGTGGGTACGACTCAAACATTTTGCAGAACGCTGATTACCCGAATTAATTAGTGGCAAATGTGGTTCAGATAATCGAAAATTCGGATAATTGGATTACATTCTGATGCACGAGAAA